AGCTTCAGTGTCACACAAGCAAAGTTTCTCACTTGGGAAACTGACAAAAGCCACAGCATAACAACGTGAGTGTTGGAATCAGAGATTTAAAAGCAAATTAGAGCAAAGAGGAAAGCTTTCTTACAGACATGGCTCAGCTTTGAGGTAAAGGCCTTCACTAGGACTATCAGATCTGAGTTTTAAAAATCTGGATGACCATTTGATGGCAGGAAAGAAAGGTATTTTGTATTTCTTCCCTGCTACCGAGTGTTCTTCTGGATTTCTGCAGATCCAGTAACCCTAGCCTTCCCTTCTTTTAGATGGTGGTAGATTTCATTTAACCTTATCCAAGATTTTGTATTCCATAGCTGTGATCAGAATGCAATAGTTTATGGCTGAACTGCGAACTTCACATCTTTCAGACTGAAATCAGTAATGGCAGCATTCCAAAGAATATGTCTGACAACCCTTTTTAATAGTGCTTTTCCTATTTGTTTGTCTACAATTAAACAAAAAAAAATACACTGTCTTCCTTATTGTCTGCAATATATTAGAATTTGTTGTGCAACCAAAGTACAAGAGGTGACTTTAAAAGGTGTTCATTTCATAAATAAGATGGTCCTTGTAAGTCACAGGTCTGGGTGACTGCAGATGAGTCTGTGGGGAAGGGACAAAAACAGACTCTATTAACAGTAAGCGATAAGTTTCTTATCTCCAGATTAAGTAGTTACTTGCCCAGTTCCTATGCCAACTAAATGTGTCCCTTTCAAGCAAGTAGGCAAGGAAGTTTTTATAAGAGGTTTTTGAGGATATTTTGTTGCTTTTCAAACTAACACAGGCAGGTAGGGTGGCTAATGGTTTTTATTATTAACGTTTCTGCATATTATTCTCTGATGCTAAATTATGGGTTTGTTCCACTTGTTTCTACAACATTCGAGCATTGAGTGCTCCTCATATAGCAAAGCACAGCTCTGTTCTCTCTCAACATGGCACATTGTTGAAACAGCACAGAGGCAAAGGCTGAGCAGGGATTTGAAAGAAAGGCTCAGAATTCCTAGTTTTATGAGATTATTCAGTGCTCTGCCTGCACTGAGGATGGATAACTAAACATAGAATTTATTCTCATAGAGATACATACCTAACCATGATGCCAAAATGGTGAAATGTGGCATCACAATGCAAGTTCTGGCCCTTTGTACTTGCATAGGAACATTACATGTAAAAGGAAGTCAGACTGTATAATGAAGTACATTTTATTATGTGCCCTACCTTGCCCCCTCCCCCCCCTCCCTGCCCATGCCTGTTCTGTTACATGAACATCTCTCTTTGCAGAAGTTCTGCTTCTATGGGAAAATATCACACTTTATGAGATCAAAGTTCAAACATGTTAAACCAAAACCAAAAAGCCATCTTACGAAAAGAACCATTGTGGCTCTTCCTGAACTTAGCCAATTGTGGTTTATTCAATGCACCTTAGTTAAACTAATGCTTATGCATTCAATAAACCATAGTTAAGCAAACATTTGTGGGTTTATGACCACACTTGGTCTTTGACTGCTGTGCTCATTGCCATAATCCAAGTAATAGTTATTGCCGTTAATATAATAATTCTTCAGCTCTGTATTTAATACATTTTCTATTCTGTCACATTAAAACATTACCTTTTGGGTAACGTTCTGAAGATTTGGGGCCCTCAATCAAAGTTCTTGGGGACCACATTTAGCCTGGTTAAATCACAGTCACTCTCTCTCAGCCCAACCCACCTTGTTGTTGTTGCTATGGGGAAAACAGGAGGCAGGAATATTAGGTACATTCACTACCTTCCGTTTTATAGATACAGATCTAGATATATAGACAGACACATGCACATGGCAGGAAATAATAATAATAATAATCCCCCAAGTGAGGCACTACCTTGACGTGGTTGTGGGGCTTGCGTGCTCTGAGGAGGATGAGAGCTATGCCAGAGATTCAACCATACTGGACAGTTCTCATCAGAGGAGCCAGATAAAGAGTGGCTCTCCCATAAACAATATGGTGAGACGTAATTTACAGAAACCTATACTGGATTGCTAATTGCCTGGGTCAACAAGGACCACGCTAAGTGTTCTAGTTCCTGGACATCTGGTGGCAACTGGGCTACAGGACTCAAGACTGTTGGCTGAGCAACCAGGGTCAGCAGCTACAGGACTTCTAGAAGAAAAGTTGTTTACCTGTCGCAAACATATGAAGACTGAAAACAAAGAAATAATGATCTGCTATTACAAATCAAGTCCAACAAAAAGAGGATATCTGAAAAGAATGCACCAGTTCTTTTCAATATCCAGAATCAGAAATAATGGAACAGAGGCTAGCAGATCAACGTCGATTTATAATATGAAATAAAGTATTCACAGAAGTAGAATTGGAAGAACTGCAAAGGTCTACCCAGGACAAAGAAATCGAAGCCTTGCCAGAAGTAGCTCAGAGAGTACAGCCTTCTCCTCAGAAAGAACAAAGCCCTCTA